ACTGAACGTGAACAAAGTGGAAAACTACAAGGGCCTGTTCGGTGCACAGCATTTTGCAGCAATCTCTATTATGTGATTAAATATGTATATTCAGTAATAAAAAAAATTCTCAAATATTGTTCACTATATGCATATTTAAACTCCAAATGAACAACATTTCAATGAAATATGGGTGTTTAAAAAATAATTCACAAAAGATATGCTTTTTCTCGGGCTTCAAACCCCTTAAGGAAATAAAAGAGTAAAGTAATAAAAGTATGTTATATTAATTATAAATATTAAAAATGTCGAATAAATGGACACTACAATGATCAGAGGAATAAATTTACTTCGGTGTAAGTAGAAATAATTTGGATACAAAATTATATTACTCAAATAAGTTATAGTGTAGTCAATATGTTAAATGTAATTAGGAGAACATACCAATAATAAATTCCTTTAAAACACGTACATACATACGTATATGTATAATTTATCGCCGAATTCTGTCACTGGCAAAAGGAAGAGCAAATAAACCCTATTAAGGATATTATAATGATCATACAATTTATATTTATTTCTATACTTTCTTACTCCTAAATATTACAGTTGCATACTAACAGTAAAGACAGTTAATTAAACGATACATATACGAGTTAAAAACTAGGAATAACATGGATATACTGTGCCTCCAATAGAATGAAAACACTAATTGCTTATTGTCTAAGTATAAGTATGCCAAGATTTCAAACTATTTTATTTCGGTGGCTTCAACATTATTAATATGTGCAATTTCATCTTGGAATGCTTTTTATAGCTATCAACTTTTATACAAAACCATTTGTAGAAGAAACTTATGCAAAATAATTTTAAAACACAATTTTGTTACTCGATACCATTTATTGGTGGATTGGAAGATATCGACATGTGGTTATTGTGGTTTAGCTGATGACTCTGGACATATGTTACTTTGGAAACTCTTGGACGACCAGCTAGGAAAGCTGCAAACTGTTCCTATAAAAGTATCATGAACATATAATAGTTAACGAATGAAATTGTACAATAAATCTACGTTTAATTTCCTATTGTGAAATTTTGTCTGATATGTATTTTTCTTTTTTTAC